AAGTCATCACTCAATCCTTTCATTTATGTGATAGGTCTGCATTTAAAATGAACATTTACCATAAATTAAAGGTATCTTATATTATTAGATATATTATTATAAAACATGCTTTAGTTAAGGAGTTATTGATACTTCATGTGCAAAATGATGATATAAAACCATGATAAAAATGCACTTTTAAGTATTAATCAGATTCCACAAACACACTTTCCTTTTAGCAGCTTTTGAATAGAATAACTCTCCCCCACAATAAAACACCAGAACTTGTCTACCTTAACTATTCCCCGCATTCCCTGTGTCTTCTTATCATTTATCATCGTTTCCTACCTCTGTTTCCCCTGCTTAACCTGCCTTCACTACACCAGCCTCATTTTCCACTATTTTGAATCCCCTTATGAGCTTTAATCCACTCTTTTTATCTCCACATGCATATATTTTTGTTGATTAATGTCCAGGTACAACTTTAGCTCCAGCGTCTCATCATGCTTCACCACAATAATTAGCATTGTAATGGACTGGTTTCATGTTGGCTCGTCCATTGTTAGACATTTTTTCTTGGCTTGGTTTAGACTTGGCCACCTCACCAGCATGTCTCCCTAATGTTTCTCCTCTTGCTTTGAATTTAGTCACTAATCTTTTGCATTTTGATACATATTGGTGCTCTAGCATTTTTTCCTCTAGCTCCTTCTTAGTACACCATTATTCTTAGGCCATGGAAGGCCAGGATGGCTAACTTTAGTGTCACCTCTACTCTAAGGCATTCATCTTCCCTTACATATGAACATTTCACCTTCTAGAAGGCACATCGCTCATTGTTTTAGCAACACGCTATGTAAGAGGAAATCCAGGCTTTGTATAAAAATGTTACATGGACCCTAATCTTTTACTAGCCCTCTATGAACTTGGTTGGAAGTTGATGGGTTTATAAGATCAAACGACATACCAATGGTAATGTTAAGTGATATAAAGCCTGGTTGGTAGTTTAAGGGTTCACTTACCAAGAGAGGATTAATTATTTTGAGACATTTAGTGTATAATCAAGCCTACCACCATCCAACTAGTACTCACAATCGCTGTCTTGAATGGTTGGTTGATCCATCAGTTGGATGTTCATAATTCTTTCCTTAATGACATCCTTCAGGAAGAGGTATATATAGACCAACCCTCTGGTTTTGTTCACTCTGATTTTGATACTCATATATATCATCTTCATAAATTATTATATGGTCTTAAGAAAGCACTTCGAGCTTGGTACAAATGATTAAGTGACATTCTACTCTTCATTAGTTTCCAAACATCCAAGGCTGACACTTTTCTCTTCATCTTCTCTTTTCATGGTGCTCTATTCCATTTACTTGTGTATGTTAATAATATTCTGTTGATCAGAAGTAACTCTAAGTACTCTACCGATTGATTACTTTAATGAGGTCAGAATTCAAGCTTTAGGATTTAGGTACTCGTGCACTACTTGGGCATTGAAGTAAAAACCATTCTACTAAGTCAACAAAAAATATGTTAATGATATCATTTGACAAGTAGATATGTCATCCTATAAACCAATTGACACCTTTTCATCCCATTTTCTGCATTGACTATCATGTCACGTGCTTCATACTCTAATTTTGCTAAGTATAAACAGATTGTTGGTGCTTTGTAGTATCTTAATTTTACTATACCTGATATCTACTATGCTGTTAATAAGGTGTGTCACTTCATGCTTGTTTCCACTAAGGACCACTGGATAGCTGTTAAACGTATTTTACGGTATCTTCAAGCTACGACATCTTATTATTTAATGTTACTCGAAGGTCTTCCATATCCCTTCATGGATTTATTGATATAGATTGGGCTAACAATGTTGATAATAAAAAATCTACTAGTGGTTATTTGGTGTATCTCGGTAATACTTTTGTCTCTTAGAAATTCAGAAAGTAACGTACTGTTGTTAGATCCTCTACAAAAGCTGAATACAAGGCTTTAGCTGATGACACAACTAAAATCCTATAGCTTTGTTTGTTATTGTTAGACCTTCATCTTATCTCTCCACCTATGACTACTTTGTGGTGCGATAATTTAAGGGCAACTTTTCTGTTAGTAAATCCTATATTTCATGCTTGTACTGAACATGTTGAGGTTGACTACTGTTTTATTTTTGATTGAGTTGCAAAGAAGAAGATTTAAGTTTGGTTCATCTCTTTGAATGATTAACCAGCTGATATCCTTACCAAACCGCTAATGTTTGCACCTTTTGCTCATTTTCGATCCAAGTTTC